CATAATTCACAAGTACTTGATCACGTCCACTTTGCTCAAGATAGTCCTTTGCAAAATGGCCTATCTTTTGACAGGCGAAACATTTGACCTTTTTAAAGTTAATTCTCTTTTTGTCGCTCTTCTCGCCCTTTTTCTTGAAAGGTTGTTTGTCCTTCTTTACTTTAGGGCCACTCTTATTACCCTTCTTATGTTGCTTCTTGCTTCTCTTAGGCTTAGAATTAGAAGGACTACCTTCCTCGACAAGGTAAGCCTATCTAGATGACTTGTAAGCCTCCAAACATTCAGCCTTTAGCTCTAGGTGTTTAGCCACATCATTAAAGTTAACGATATTTTCATTGTGGGTTAAGTTAACTTTCATATGCTCCCAACTATGTGGGAGCGATCTGATTACAGCCTATACTTGCTGTTCATCAAAAAGATTGTGCCCAACTTCTTTAAGTTCACGGATCATGCTGGCCATCTCTTTAAGGTGCTGCTGCACAAGAGTATTCGGCTTTAGTTTATAAATGTCAAATTTAATTGTAAGCCTTCTCAGTTTGGTGGTTGAGGTACCACCAAAATTTTCTTTTAAGGTAGCCCACATGGCTTGGGCAGTGGAGTGCTTTTCAAATTTGCACATCAGATCGTCCGCCATAGTGCTTAGAAGTGTTATTCATGTGATGCTATTTTTTTGTTTCCATGCCTCAAATGCCTCTTGGTCTCTCTTATGCTGAGCTGAGTTTCCTACCTTAGGCTCGGCTATGACTTTAGTCAATGGCTCAACAGCATCTTGTTCTTTAAAATATATGACACCTTACAGTGCCAGATATCCCAGTTATCCCTGTTTAATTTGTCGCCCTTATTCAATTTAGCAATAATGCTTTTTGTTATTCTTAGTTTTGAGATGAAACTATCCCACATTAATAGTTTTCTATATTAAACCAAGAATAAAATACTTATGAGAAATATATAATATCTTATATTTGTATTATTCTTAATTAGAGTGATAACAACTCTATTAGGTCAACAATCAGGAGGCTACGTTCGTATCTCCCATCACATTAATTCTAATAAAATCACTATCATCTATAAAGAATTTTACAAATATTTTAATCATTACATATAGCTTATAAATGATTTATCACTTTAGAGCTCCCATTCAAATAACATATATATAAAGCAATTAAACATAAAACAACATGCTTCATATATTTCATAAATCATCAACGTCTTAATATAGCATAAAAATAAATTCTTGGAAAAACAGAACAATGCTTAAGGCATAGACCTAAAAAGACAAAATTCCATAGAAAATTTTCAAAGTACGACTTGTTTTGCTTGTTATGTTGCACAAGCTCTTTCCTAAGTTGTTTGAAAGTTTCTCTTACAACTATAGCTTGTTCTTCTTTTATTATGAAGCTTGAATATGCTCTGACTATTGGAGAAATTTGATCCAATTTTTTTTTTCTTTTAGCTTCTCTTTTTGCTATATTTATGATCACTGAGGGTGTAAAAGGTTGTTCAATTTCATCTTCATTTTGAACATTATCATCACCCTTTAATTCATGTTTTGGTCCTGACAGCATGCGCACCTCTTTAGGTCCTTCCGGCACATTTTCAAGATCAATATTAGGATCTTCTTTAGAATCAGAATCAGAATCCCCACTTTGAGGTTAATATTCCTCCTCCTCTTCTTCGAAAGATTCTGGGTCAGAATCCTCACTAAGAGGCTCGTAATCTGGTTCATCCAAATATTCAATGCTGACAGAATAATTTTTTGAGTTATCAGTGCTGCTAGAAGCCTCTTGCTTCATTTTTTTCCTAAAAAAATGAAAAAAATTAGAAAGTTTTTTTAAACTCATAAAGAGCACTAGATAACTCAAAATATAAATTCTTGTTTTATCTCAAAAAATATGCAAATTATATATCAAAATGAAGATCTCGAATTTAGGAATTTTTTAAGACAAATTTTGTCCTAATTTGGTCCCACACGCGTCGGCACGTGCCCTAACAAGATTCTAGATCAAGAGATTCTTTTAAAACATTTTTTCACTCTCGGGAAGGCGCGTGCACAACACGCGCCGCCATATCTCCCTTCAATGATGAGACGCGCCACCGCCAGCTTCATGGTGGGGCCAACCACGTGCCAATAGAGTTATCCGGTGGGTTCCACGCGCCATGTGTCCTCTTTATATATTTTTTAATTAATTTTTTTTAAAAAAATTAAATATTTATTTTTATTTATTTTATTTTTTCAAAACTGGGTCGGGTTTATGTACCCGACCCATAGACCCATAACCATTTTTTTTTGGTGTTTTTTTTTGGTTGAGCTTCCAAGCCCAAAACCTTTCCCTTTTTTTATTTAGTTTGGGGCTTTTAGGCTCATAGCCCAGAAATCTTTTTTTTTTTTTACGAAGACAAAAACGACGTGTCTTCCCCCAACCTGGTCAACTTGACCTGGTTCCTCCGGCGGGTCGGGTCCGTCAAACGCAAAACTTTCGGAGTCCATATCTCCTCCGTCCAGTCTCCGTTTTACGCATTCTTGGTGTTGTTTTCTTTTTTTTCTAGCTTTACACATTTATGCAATCCTTTTGTTGAAAAAACTCATTTTTTTTAAACACCCATTATTTGGTTTGTTTTCGGTCCTTATGTTCGTCACTGTTGATTGCATGCAAAACGTGTACAGCCATATATAAAACACTCATATTAACCAAGAAGCATATTAACATGTTCATTTTGATAGTAATAATCTTAAAGACAGACAAAGAATATCAAAGCGTAAACACATTAAGAAAATAAAAAAATAAACTTAAAGATTTGCGTGTATATTGTTAAACAAATCATTATAGGTTCTTTAGACATAGGAAATACAGCCCAGGAAATTCAAAAGCTCTTACCAATCAAAGAATTTGAGGAGGAAAAACATACCTTAAGTCGTTAATTCGCACGTATGTATGCGAGAACAAAATTACATCGGTCAAACTTCATTCGAATACACAGCAAACGCACTCTCTGAGAGAAATGTGTTGTTAGGAGAAAATGAGTCGACTGGAAAACAAGAGCGTGCAATTTCTTTCTTCACGCAGAGAACAAAAATTGAACCGACTGAAACTGCACTCATAACCACCTCTTATGGGAACGTGCGATAGTTTTTCTAACCGCTCATAATTTAAATTCAAAAGTTGGACAATATTATGTTTTAAGGCCCTGAGCAAATTACATTTTGAATCCAAACACTTTTCATAATTGTCACAAGAGTCCCATTTCCCAATTTGGGCTTTTATATGGGTTTGATCCACCAAGGGTGGATAACCAACACATAAACAATGCTATATTACTTTTGTTTAACAATGTAGAAGATTTATTTATTGTCTCTATGATTTCACTGGTGATTATATAAAATCAAAATGTTGCATTTTATAGTCTGACTCATAGCTTCTTTTTTTTAATAATCAATTAACATTACATGGACGTGGCTATTCTTTGCTTTTGACATCATAGACTTTTCATTTTATAAGCTCAATGTTCTATTTAATTTTTGCTGTGATTTTTTTTTTTTTTTTGTAATTTTTGATTTTAAAAAAAATTCTTTTGTGTAATTTGTTACAAAATTTTTGTTATTTAAATGTTTGTGGATTATCTTGGCTAAAGTTTTATCAATTTTTGTTAGCTGAATGGTTCTTTCTATAAGCTTAGTGGTGAATTTCATGATGGAAAGTTTCAATCGATGGAAGCTAATTTGGCTCCTACATTAGAGAAAGAATTTGATAATCTAGAGTAGACATGGAGGTTTTGAAATGATTATGCTTCTAGCGTAGGTCTTAGTGGAAGAAAAAATGAGTTAACAACGAGTAAGAGAAATAAAAAGATAATTATTACTTATAAATATGTGGAGTCAAAAGAGAGTATGTAAACGAAAACTTGATAAAAGTTACACAATATTTTTAGAATTATTTTTTTTGCACAAAGTGAAAATGAAAAGAATGATCAAGCACCTATGATGAACTAAAGAAGCAACAAAAAAATTTCAATTATGGATTAGAAAAATGTTAGAATTATTTAGTGTTTATTCCAAAAAAAGATATCATATGTCAAAATTCTCTGTCTATTATTCAAGTCTTTTTAGTTTCATCAAGTGTCAATTAATGTAATGTTCAAAGCATGTGAACTTAAAATATATATATATATATATATCATAAACCTTCGTCCTCTTCCTCAATAAAAAGAAGAACAATATGGTTAGTTTTAGGGTGTTGAATCAACATTTAATAAATAACACAATTCAATATCACCATTTTCAATTCTGCATGACCTGATATATGTGTCAATATTTTCTCAAATCCTCTTTCACAGCTTGATATTGGAATTTTCAGTTCCTGATCCACTTCCACAAATTTAGCCCTCCAAGTTATCATGTCATAAAATTCGAACTCCCTTTTAAAGATTAAAGACCGATTGCCCCAAGCAGGTGAATTAAAATAAATATCATAAACCTTCTTCCTCTTCCTCAATCCATAGAAGAACAACAATATGATGAAGAATCATCTCGAGCTTCCTTCAACCTGAAGATATAAATAACAATTAAACTCAGACCACACTTAATGAGGGATGAGGAGAAATCGAAAGAACAACAGGGATTGAAGGAGGTTGGAATAGATCAAAAAATAAGGAGGGATGGAAAAGAAGGAAGAAGAATATAGAAGAATGTAAATACCTGAATGAATAAGTCGCTTTTAATGAAGTACACAAATTCTCGGCCGAGCTCCCTATCCATCGTCTATATTCTTGGTTGGTAATTGACTGGAAGTGTATTTCGGTTCTTACAGATTGAATGGACGACCAGGATTAAAATAAAATGGACGGTTGATGTTCTTCTGTGATGTGGCATATTGTGAGCCTTTAGATTGTTTGAGCGGTTAAGATTTGGAGATTCTGAGGGACATTGAAAATGCCAATACTCAAAGGATCTAGACCCTAGACCCAATGAGACTTGAGTGTTGTAAGGGTGTGCATGGGCGGATCGGGCTGACAATGAGCTCAATGACCAACTCTGAAATTAGATGGGCAATGTTTGTTAGCTTAATGCTTGATCATGCCCAAAGAATGCCTGGGATTTTTAAGGTCAGGCACTAAGATAGGGTTGGGCATCCCTACTGCCCTGGATCAATCATGAGAGGATCTGGACCCGTCTCCCTGTGCTGTTCGCCGCCGTTCCTGGCTTCGGTCTCCCACTTCCGTTCTCTATTCTTCGTTCTTGAACGTCGTGCGGTTCTGTCCCGTTACGACCCAAGTTTACATTTTTTTTTTCCTTACTTATTCTATTCTATTATGATGACGGAAGCTTCTATCATGCTCTTAACAGTGGTCCGTTGGATGCACATACGACAACAAGGAGCCGGTGAGAATGTCCTGAAACATTGTTGAGGATTCTGGGTTCAGCTAAACAAGAAGATATCAAATAATACCTTGCATTCACTGAGAATAAAAAGTAGTTCTCAGTGAAGAATAATAAAACCGTCCCTTATGTTTTATAACATATACCGGACCATCTTCAACTGCGTCAGTTCATACTCTGCTTCCCTGTCACTAGTCCGACAAGCTCACGCGCACATTGTCAAAGCTGGACTCTTTGGCAATGTCCAACTCACGACCCGGCTCCTTTCTGTCTACGCTAATAATCTCTGCTTTTATGATGTCAATCTTGTCCTTGATTCTATTCCTGAACCTGATTTGTTTTCCTTCTCCACTCTCATCCATGCTTTTGCCAAATTGAATCACTTTGACCATGTTTTGCGTGTTTTCTCGCAAATGTTAACTCAGCGTTTGGTGCCTGATTGTTATGTCCTTCCCAGCGCCATAAAGGCTTGTGCTGGACTACAGGATCTGAAAGTAGGGCGACAGATTCATGGGGTTGCTTGTGTATATGGGTTGGCTTTGGATTCAATAGTAGAATCATCTTTAGTGCACATGTATTTGAAATGTCACAAGATTGGGGATGCACAGATATTGTTTGATAGAATGCCCGAAAAGGATGTAGTTATTTGGAGTGCTATGATTGCTGGCTGTTATCGTCAAGGACTTGGGGATAAGGCAAAGGAGCTATTTTATGAGATGAGAAATGAGGGTGTGGAACCAAATATGGTGTCATGGAATGGTATGATAGCTGGGCTTTGTAATAGTGGGTCACATATTGAGGGGTTGATGTTTTTCCAAATGATGATCTCTGAAGGCTTTCGGCCTGATGGCTCTACTATATCCTGTGTTCTTCCTGCTATAGGACACTTGGACGACTCGGTAATGGGCACCCAGGTTCATGGTTATGTGAACAAACAGGGCATTGGATCAGACAAGTTTGTGGTTAGTGCACTTATTGACATGTATGGAAGGTGTGCTTGTGCATTAGAGATGTCACAGGTGTTTGATGAATCTGACCAAATGGAAATAGGTTCATGCAACGCTTTTCTTACAGGGTTGTCACGTAATGGTCTTGTTGACACTGCATTGGATGTATTTAGGCGATTCAAAGCCCAAGGAATGGAATTGAATGTTGTGACATGGACGTCAATGATAGCGAATTGCTCTCAAAATGGAAAAGACTTGGAAGCTTTGGAGTTCTTTAGAGAGATGCAGAGTGAAGGCTTGGAGCCTAACTCTATAACAATTCCAAGCTTGATTCCTGCTTGTGGAAATATTGTGGCATTGATGCACGGAAAGGCAATCCATTGCTTCTCTATCAGAAAAGGAATAGTTGATGATGTATATGTAGGTAGTGCTTTAATAGATATGTATGCCAAGTGTGGAAGGATCCAATTGTCTCGGCTTTGTTTTGATAGAATGCCAACCAGAAATTTGGTTTCGTGGAATGCCATAATGAGAGGTTATGCTATGCATGGAAAGGCTAGGGAAACAATAGATATTTTTCATATGATGCAGCAGGGTGGCCAAACACCTGACTTTATCACGTTCACTTGCCTGTTATCCGCCTGCAGCCAAAATGGCTTAACAGAAGAAGGTTGGCATTATTTTACCAGCATGTCCACAGAACATGGCATTGAAGCCAAAATGGAGCATTATGCATGTATGGTGACATTGCTAGGTCGTGTAGGAAAACTTGAAGAAGCTTACTCTCTTATCGGGAAAATGCCATTTCAACCTGATGCATGTGTTTGGGGAGCCTTGTTAGGTTCTTGCAGAGTTCACCATAACCTGAGTTTAGGCGAGATTGCTGCAAAGAAGCTTTTCCAGTTGGAATCAGACAATCCTGGTAACTATATTCTTCTGTCTAATATTTATGCCTCAAAGGGTATGTGGGGCGAGGTAAATAGAATACGAGGTGTGATGAAGAATATGGGATTGAGAAAAAACCCAGGCTGCAGTTGGATAGAATTGGGACGCAAAGTTCATATGCTTCTTGCTGGGGACAAATCACATCCACAAATGAAACTGATCTTGGAAAAGTTGGATCAATTGAGTATTGAAATGAACAAGTTTGGTTACTATCCTGATACTAATAATGTTCTGCAAGATGTTGAGGAGCAGGATAAGGCACAGATATTGTGTGGGCACAGTGAAAAGTTGGCTGTAGTATTGGGAGTACTGAACACAAGTCCTGGGCAACCTCTTCAAGTGATTAAGAACCTGAGAATCTGTGATGACTGCCATGCTGTTATAAAATTCATATCCAGTTTTGAACAAAGAGAAATTTATGTCAGGGATACAAATCGTTTTCATCATTTCAAAAATGGCGTTTGCTCTTGTAGAGAATATTGGTGAACTGCTTTTTAACACCTTTGAATTCCTCTTAAAGGGGAGTTCATTCTGTACCATTAGTTCTTTCAGCAGATTAAGAAACAGATATAAATGAATCAAGATTGTGTTCCGACATTAAGCTGGTGCTAACAAGTAAACCATCTTCAGAACAAGGATTTGCGTATCATATTTTTGATACTTAATAAAATACTCTTTTCATTCCAGTTTTTAGTACTTGTCTTGTTTGGCTCGAATATAAGAGTTTATACACAAATTAAAATATCCAGGAATACAGGAGAAAGTTTTTTATTTACGAGATCATTTTTTTCATTATGTTTTTTCAATTCCAATTTATTCTATATTTTTATTTCATTTCATCTGGTGTGTCAAATAGGTTGGCATTTATTAAGTACTTGCCCAAGTTTAACTAAGCAGCAAAATATCATAAAATTAGAGGATTCCTGTAAATAATAAAAATATAACTTTATTTTATTAAAATTTTAACCAGTTACTGCACATCACAAGGTTCACAAATTAAAGGAGGATGTCACAGAGATGGAAAAAGGTTTTATTTTTCCAACTACTTAAAATCGGAAACACACAAACATAAAACTTGGGTGTTCCTCTAGTCTTCCCAGAAATTGAAATGCCTTTGGTGGAATGAACATATTCCATTTTCTTGATGGATTTATATGAGGCTAGAAATCGAAGTAAAATTGAACTTGCAATAAATTACAATTCACAAAAGTCGCATAAGAAACTACACACACAGACCCTTTTTTTTTTTTTTTTTTGCAGCAGCTATCTCATTCAGCTGAGTTAGTGGCTTCACATATTCAGTCCTTGAAAATGCCAAAGTTCTGTGGTGATCTCATCCAAAAGTCCATTAAGAACATGCTTTTCCATATTTCTTATTGCTTCATATTTCTCAATAAAGGCAAATGTATCGTCATTCCAACCCAATTCCCACATACAGTCGATATCTGGATCCTTATTGTAAACATCATTTGCTAGCATTTTGGGAAGGTAGTCGTCCACTTCAACTCGGGAAATTCTGCTTCTTCCACAGAATGTTAGTTTCTCTATGTCTTCATCCAGCTGCCTAACCAAGTCATCTAAGGATCTAATTCTCATGGTACTGATTGATATCTTTGAGCAAGGATGAGCTTTGAACTCTTGCCTTATCCCTTTTCGTTTCATGACTTCATATCCACAGTCTAACATGAGTTTGCTGCTTAAGTCTTGATTATCCCAACCACTGCCAAGGGGATTGCTAAATGGCATGTCAAATCTGAAAAGTGTTTCTGCAGTGTTAAGGAACAATTGACTCTTGATCAAGTTCCACTTGAGGCGGTTTTCGCTTTCTGTGAGTGGTTTTGGACTTTTTCTTGAAATATTCGGGCCTTGCGCTTGTAAATGGGAGTTAATGTTCATTCTGTATGCACGCACTCCTGTGATGTTGAAAATGTCCGCTAAAATTGATAAATTTGATTTAACATTATTTTATACTGAAAATTATTGTAATATAAAATTGACAATGTCATGAGAACAAAGTAATAATTAAATGAGGAATGTCGTCTCTGGAACTTTGGCATCTAGGGTGAGGCTTTTCCCTCCGTTTGTGAGCCATAGTTCTGCTCTGACGAACAGAAGGGAAAATAATATTTGGTGGATGTCGTGGAAAGTATTATGACCTCATGCAATATGAATGAAGGTTATGAATGACAGCTAATCCAAAAAAAAAAAAAAAATCATTGTCGTTCCTTAACATACCATACGATATAACAGGAGGTACTACGATATTCACAAAAGAGAACTTGCACTAATTTCATACTTATACTCACCATTTATGGTGTATGGTGCAATTTGGCCAGATTCGATTCCTTCATCTGCTGTCACAAGAGCAGCTTGATCTTGCAAATCTCTTATTGTCACTGACTTCACATCTTCATGCTGCAAAAAATCCAACAAGGGTTTGGAAGAAAGCTTATTAGTACTTGAGTTATATATATATATTTATATATTTTCTCCCATTGTATGAGACAATTTTGGTTTCTAATGAAGTTGAGCTTACCAAATAGTTGGGAACTAAAGCTTCTGATTTCTGTGAGCATTGAAGCTCACCATCATTATACAATGTAGGAGGCATTTCATCTACTTTATGTGGTTGATATCTCACTTCCAATGGTTCAGTGGTAGCTACTGGTGCATTGGAGCTAAATAGGCGTGTGTCTGCTTCTTTGGACGTGCCCACCCTTTCTCGCTCAGCTTCTTTTGAGATGTTGATCCTGTCAGATGTTCTTTGCATCACTTGTTGCATAATGGGACTGTGTTGCTTTATTTGTTTTGGGATTTGGAGCATTTTTCTATTTCTTCGTGTCAACACCTCATCAATCTTTCCTGGCATATCAATTTTTTGCTTTCTAGTACTCTTTACCTTCTTGTCAGTTATTTTATGAACACCTTTCTCAACCATCACTTTTTGGATGCCCCTCTTCCCCTTAACTTTTTCTGGTTCTTGACATGTTGGAGAGGAAAGTTGACAGGACTCCTTTTTCATCATCTCTTTGATTTGCACATTCAAGCCATTGGAAACTTCATCTCTGACTAGATTATCGTAATAGCTAATTGAAGACCTGTCCGAATTCAACGCACCAGTGTTTTCTGCTGAATTGTGCTGAAGTGAGGCGACATGGTTTATGAATAGCTGCTTCCTCTGAGATAAATTATTGGATGGAGTTTCACTCCCTCTTTGAGATCTTGCCTTAAACATTTCCTTTTCACTCAGCTGGAGCCACTGTTTTTTATGATATTTTTCTTGCTGGGGCCCATACTTCAAGGCCAAGTTTGACTCTTCAATTCCAAGATGATACTGACACATTTTTTGATTGCCCACGATGTGCATGTTTGTGTGTCTCTTTTCAGATTGATGAATACTTCCACTGGTTTCCTTCTGTTCCTGCAACAAATATGTAACTTCTGATCTTCCATGCACTTGTTCCATCTGATTCAGCATATTATTAAGATTATTGGTTCTGCCTTTTCCTGTGCCTTTCTGTTCTCTGTTACTAATGTGATCCTGTCTTTTTTCTTTCTCCTGAACCCCTATTTGACTTGGTCTCATAAAATTGACCTTAACAGCACTGTCGTTCTGCTTGTCTTTTTTTATGCTGGCCTTATCTGATCCTTTCAATGCTCTTATTCCATTATCAACGACCACCTCAGAGCTGACCTTCCGCGTATTCAAATTTTTATCAACACCGAGCTCCTTATGCTGGGTTGCAGGCATGGTAGTCGATTCTATCACTTTTTGCTTCTTCTGTGGCAACAAATTCGCTGTTTGTCTGCTATTCAGCTCCATCTTCTTCTGACTTCCTTTTGGAGTGTGCTTGAATGCCACTCCCATTTTTTGTGCAGAATCTGAACCCTTCTGTGGGGTATGTTTCACTTCCACTTTCCCTGGAAGATTATCCAGACCCATCAATTTGGCTACTACACTTGGTATCCCACTCTTGTCTGCATCAGATTGCACTGAGGCCAACTGATTATTTTGTTCAGAAACAGCATTCTGACTCTTCGCATTAGAGCCATAACTAGTTGATCGCTTATGATGAGGAAGCAATTTTGATGTGTTGACATCTTGCTTTTCGTTATTTAATTTTTTGCCTTTGAAGTAATTTGTCTGCTTGAGACTCATGTTTTGATTCCCTTGAAAGTTTTGAGAATGTTTAGAGCGTTTGTCAAAGGAGAAAATTGGTGGTGCCAGTTGTTTTTGCTCCAAAGTTTTGGTTTCATCATCAACATCCTCCTCCTCCTCCTCTAATAATATGACCTGATTTTTCTTCTGCGGTGTCACGATGAACTCCAAATTTTTCTGCTGATCTACTATTATCCTGAGGGACTCCTCCAAATTTATAGCACCTTGCAATAATTCCTTTGCAAATTCTATTGAATGTCTATCTATGGTGAGACCATTGGGGTGGGAGGCACTTAATATCTGATTTAATTTCTGTGCACCTTTGCATATCTCACTTATCTGCACAGGAGAGAGAGCAGGGAACTGACTAGTTGAAGCTAGTTGCCGACCAGAACCTCCCCGTCGTTCCATTTTGCCAAAGCTCGATGTCCCCCTTTTAAGCTGGCCAAGGAAGTTCATGATTGAATTAGTTAAAGAAGAATCAGATCTTCTAAGTTTCCCTCCATTCTCAAGTGGAAAAGCCAGGGCTAGGGACATATCACCAGTTTGCTCTAACCTCTGACCTCTCCCATATGTAACAATCTGATTTGAAACTTCGCCAACTTTTGCTGATCTATGGCTTCTGCTAGACCTATTCAGCACGTTCCCAGTTCTGGAACTAACCTGCAGCACATGAAACAAATGTAAGTAACATCAAGATATCTGCTTTAATGGATGCAGTAAAGTACTCATAACTTAACTTACATTTTCACCTCCTTTATAACTCCTGGATCCCCTGTGTGTTTGCTTGGAATAAGCATAAGCATCTGGGTGAGCATGTGTGGCACAATTAGATCACATATGTTTTGTGCGAGGTAGAAAATATTTGTGTAGATGAACTGTGGGATGTCATTTATTTTCCGAAGTCTGAAGTTAAAGATGATTGTAAATTTTTGAATTTTGATTGTCTATAGTAAGTAAAGTATTGCCCACAGACTATGGTCACGTACGGAAGATAAAAAGAAGATAAAGAATGAAAGTTTGAAAAGGGGGGGGGGGGAGTGAATCTATATGTGCCTTGATGCTGTCTTCATTTAAATACAATAAACTTTCTTGCTAAGCAGCTGGATGAGGACACCTGAACTGTTGAACTTGTTTCTTGCAAATAGTAAAAATAAAAAATTGCAGAAAAAATTCCTAAAACAGGAAAGTATATGAAGCCAAGAAGAAACAAGTAATAGGGGATCATACTGATGGAGTAAATTACGTCAACATATCTGATGTTCTAAATGTTGATTTCCAAATTCCAAGTTTCTCGGGAAGAAGTTTGTTTGTTCAAAATTTTAGATTTCTAAATACTTTAGCAAATTGGAAAAACCTTGTAAGGTTCATATATTTGTAAATTCCATACAACTAGGATATTATCTTGCATATATCGTGCTCAAATTCTTCATATAAAGATTAGAATAGCCAGTTATTTGGTTTCTTTTTTTTTTTTTTTCCTTCTTTTCCTGCCTGATCACAACGCATTGCATCAACACAGGTCTAAATGTAGAGCCATGCACAATTCTATTCCAGCTTCATTGGACACAAAAGAGGTATTTCACAGAGTCTAATGAAAATAAAAGAAAAGAAAGTGAGAATCATCACAATGAACTCACCTATAGGAAGCTGGTTGGATTGGCTTGACTTCTGAGGTGCATTCATTCGTTCTTTCCTAAGACGCAAATCATCGAGCAGCTTCTGTGCAAAATCTGATCTCTCAGACATTTACTTGTTCTTGAAACTAGAGTTGTTTCAACTTCTAACACTGCAAGGATTGCAATGTGGAAGAATGAATTGTTTTACAATGTGTGTGTGGTTTACTTTTTTCAGGTACAAAAAGAAGGGAGAAGGGAATGTTCTGTTTCTTTTAATGGGTAAGATGGTGCTATCAGAGGTGGGTGAAGTGTGAAATTCTGTCATCAAGCAAATACATTGGGGGTGAGATTTCTGTGTGTTTGAAAACCATGTCTATCTTAAAATCATATAATGATATAGATTCTTTTTTGTCCCCCTTCAAATGAGCAAGAGTGCATTCTTTCAACCAATTACAAGCAGAAGAGAATCAATATCCCTTAAATAAGGTCTCAAAATTGTCAAATACCAAATAGTTGGTATAAAAAATGGGGGGAAAGAATGAATTACTGTATGCCGAACTTGTAAATTTAGAATTTTACACCAAGAATATATTTTTCTTAGAAAGAAGTAAATGAGAATTAAAGATAGAAGTGAAATTGTGAGAGAAAAGAATGTGGTGTGAGTGTTTGCCATCTCTATCAGAGTCACTGAGTGCGTGGATGTGGGTGTAAGGATCTAACTTTTATTGTAATGCAAGCAACGCCTGAGACTTGAAGTGGAGCTTCTTCCCAAAGCTTTCCCTTCTTTTATCCTCGTCGTGAATATATTCCTTCATAAATTCGACCCTCACTTTGCACTCATCAAAATCATGCTGGCCCAAACTTTATTGATCTTTCAACTCTTTCAAGAATCTACAATCTGATATAGAGAGGCGTGAATATATACTAGAATGGCAAAAGTATGTATGTGTGTATGTGTGTATTTATACATTCTCAAAAACCATAATGTACTAGAATGTAATTATGCATGGGGCTTACATTTTAATTTATCGTTATACTCACCACTTCCTGTTGATATAAAAAAAAAAAAATTGGTAAAGGATATTTTTTGTCACTCTATTATTCACCCTAGAATGTCTAATATCCTAAACTTTCATATATTGTAATTTCCTCCTTTTACATTTAAAAATAGTGCATTCTCACCTTGCCATTAAAAAAGTTAACTTCAATTATTAGTTAACTTAAAAATTATAAAAAAATTGAAAATCATAGAAATGGACTCATAAAATTACATATAAGTAACTTATAAAAAATTAATATCAATTAAATTTCCTAAATTACATATAAATAATAGGATATAAATGTTACTTCTTCCGTTAAAAAAAATAAGACATTTTTAACTGAATCTCACCCCCAATAAAGTAGTTATTTACTTTCAAATTAACTCTATCCTTTTATATTTATCTCTATTAAATACTCCATAATAAGTATAAAGTCATTTATCAACAGGGGTACTTTTTAAAAAAAATCAATGATTATCTCAAAAGATAAAAAACACTTTATATTTTTTAACATTCAACTTTTTAAAAAATGCTTTATATTTTTAAACGGAAAGAATATTTCTTATCCACTCAAACACCAACATACAATTTTGACCAATAATTATTTTAAAGACTTAATTGATATTGATTTTCTTATAAGTACTTATTTGCAATTTTACAAGTCATTCTCTCTAAATTTTGAAGTCTTTTTTTGTGATTTTTTGATCAATTAATAATTTAATTTAATTTTTCAACAACAAAGTGCCTGACACACCTTTTTTAAATATTGAAAAAAAAATTATAACATATGTAAATTTAAAATATTAAAAGCTTTTAAGTGTATGACTTAGGCAAAAATCCCTTTAACCATAAAAATAAAAACCGTCGACACTTTTCTCTATTTTCTACATATACACCGTCATTGCCGCGTTGTACCTTGAATTTGGTGAAGGAAATTATGGTAATTGGTTTTTTTATTATTTTAAAATGATGCATGAATTTTTAATTTGTTCAAAATATAATTTGATTGTCACCCTCAGAGGTTAAGAGTCAAATCCAGCGTTTTTGATGAAGTTACAGCACCTTAATCACAATGGTGACTCGTATGGTTCGAGTTGGCGCGGCACTATGCTTTTTCGGTTTTGTTTGGATGATTTTATCAATTTTCGAAGAAAAAATTAAATCATTTAGCATATTCTTCACACATTTATATTTATATTATTCATTTTTATTGTTTCTATAATTCAAAACATTTTTTAAAGAAAAAATTTCATCTAAAGATCATAGATGTGACAATTTTTTAATCAAACCTTAAATATTTTGAAATTTCATTATAGCATACTGAGCATAAATTGAAATAAAATTATAAAACAAAGTTATCAAAATATCTTTTACAATATGTTGCAACGTAACAAGTTATATAAAAGAATTAATAAGTAAAGTAAAGCATTTAACAAGTAATATAATTGGTTAACAATAGAAGTCCATGTAACAATTTAAATCTATAACTTATTAAACTGTTAGTATTACTTTTAAAATTAATTATATTACTTGTTAATTTCTTTGCATTACATGTTACATCCTATATGTTGCAGTTAACATGATTACAATTTTTTAAATTTATTTATTTGGCTCCTTGTGTTACTCACTAACTCTATAACTTTACTTGTAAAGTCTATATAATGAGTTAAATCTATCATTTATTAAACTGTTAGTATAACTTATAAAATCAACTATATTATTTGTTAAATGTTTTATTTACTTATTAATTTTGTTATGCCCCTTGTTTTGCTGCAACATATTATTAAATTAAGGATATTTTGGTTATTTTATTACAATATTAATTCAATTTAGACCCAACATCCTATGGTAAAATTTCACACTATGTTGGGCCTCATTTGAAATATGTTCCATCCAAAGTCCTTAAATAAAATTTTCTCTTTTATAAAAGTAACACTCCCAAATAATTAGTTCTTAACATTTAAAAACCTAAATTGATTAATTTAATGACATTTAGTTCTTAAAATTTTAAAAAATAATTTGAAAATATCAAATTAGATAATTACAAACTCAAAAATTTTAATTGCATATAAGACATTGAACTTTCAAGTACAAGTCTTATTTATAACTATTTAAATTAATATTTACAACATACATTTTAAAAATTTTTGTCAAAAATTAAATTGTCATTAATTCAACTTATGTAATTATTATTTTCCTTTCTTTCTTTTTTCGGTAATAGATTTTTATTTTTTATTTTTTTGGGTAGAAAGGAGGGTTAGGCCCTAATTTTCAGCAATGAGACTGGTTAGAGTACACTGACACTTTAGTGCATTAGTGTTGATTTATTCAGCCCAATGGCCTAAATAGGTTTATTGAAAAAAAACTTTATACCATTGTTCGTTAAGCCCTAAAGCTGCATTTTGATAATTTGACCCCAAATTCTAGCGTTTTTTTTTTTCTCCTGGTTATAATTACAACTTGTTTTCTTCAGGATTCTTTTAACAACTTTTTTATTTTTTATAATTTATTACTCTTGTTAAAACCGAAAAAAAGAAACGCCTTATTTTTTTTCTTTCTAAACCCATTGCATATACAATGATTAAAAGCTAATTCAAAAATCACATAAATTTTGAAATAAAATATATTGATACGATATTATAAGAATAATATGGAAAATATTTTTTTAAAAGTGTAATCATGATGAGGCCTGCTTCAATTTTCTTAAAAAAATGAAAAAAAAAAAACACGAACATAGCAAACAAGTACTGGTAGATCTCATTGTCACTGCTGCTTTCAGTGTTTCGTGAAGGGGACTTCCGGTAAAATTGTGATTTCCTGTGGGTAAGATATTTAGACGAAAGAGTCATAATGCCAAAACAAGACAATTTTTAAATCATTTTAATCTTTTAATTTTATATAAAATTTTATTTAATTTTTAATTTTGTAAAGTTTCTTTTTGATTGTTTAACTTTAATTTCAAAAAGTTATTCTTTTGTGCTAATCATTGTTATTTTAAAAAATTAAACTTGACAAATTGATATTTAAAAATATTTTGTTCATATTTAAAAGTTCAATGTGAGAAATTTTTGTTTATTAAAGGATTGGAAAAATAACTTATAAAATAAAAAAAAACCACACTGCAACTTTCTATAAATTTATAGAATTAAAAGTATACTTTAACCTAAAATATTAAAACATGTAAAACCTACCTCTGCATTTAAAAAAAAAAAACTAATGACTTGTTTGTTTATGAGAAGAATGATGGTGTTTTTAGATCGATGATTAGGAGGATTAGGGTGATTTTAGGGTTAAGTGAGGGTATTTCGGACTTAATGGCTAAGTCCCTTACCCGTCGCACCTTCATTAACGTGAGGGTAGAACTAGACCGTGTTGATTAAATAAGAATATTTCAAATTTAAAGATTTTAACTTTTTTTTATTATAAAATTTATAAAAAAATCAACAAATTCATTCTATCAATTTAAACTGTACAAATTTAATCTAGATAATATTAATTTTAATAAATTTTTTTAATAAATCTACTTGATTAACAATCTGGTCAAATAACATTTAATGTGGCCAGTCTAAATTTAATCTTATAATTTTTATAAAATGCCTGTTCACAAATATTATAGACAGTTAATATTTAAAATTTGTAACTTGTAATTTTTTTAAAAGTACATGTCAAAATCAACACAATCCAAAATATATCTGCATAGTAAATTTATAAAAAATTTGCACTGTTGTAAGGAAAATACTACCACCACAATCTAGACAAGGCATACATTGGGAACACACGAGTTCCTCAAAACACCACATCCATTGCATTTAGTGTGGGCATGACTTCTTAGTCCAAATTACGTGGGAGAGATCATCACCTTCTCCACCCATTGCATTACACGAGAACATCATTCCAATTCCCCCACACGTAGGATATTACTTTTAGATCAACGCAACATATACATGCAAAAATATGGTGGGAACAACGTCAACCCAACACCAAACAATCTGGGAAGGAAGTTTTATATCTTAACCACTTTTCACAATATATAGTTTCATACAAAATAACTATCATACCACATATAATTATATTCAAATATTTTGGAGAAACCATATGGAGTTTGGAAAAAATGACAATGGAAGGATAAAGAGGATGAAGAAAAAGAATGAAACTAGAGTTGGATCTCTACTCATGGGCCTAAAATCATACAGAGGAATGATTATAACTCTACCTTATAGCAAGTCGTCGAGACATTTTCTTTCAATGTGGATCTTTGTGCAAGATTTCAGTTAGCTCCTAAGGATTCACATATGGTAGTAGTGAAAAGAATCTTTAGATATCTCATGGACAATAGTATCATGGGATTATGGTATTCTATAGAAGGAAGTGAGTTTTTGATGAGATACTTTGATGCCGATTTTGGAGAATGCAAAACAGAGAAAAAGAGTACAAGTGGAACATGTCACTTCTTTTGTGGCTATCATCTCTTGGGCTAACAAAAAGCAAAATACTATCTCTTTGTCTTCAATAGAATTACAGTATATAGCTGCTAGATTAGTTGCATACAAATTTTATGAATGATGTAGCAACTTAAGAATTTTGGAGTTAAACTCAAGGAAGTTCCAATTAAGTGTGACAACACAAGAACAATGTGCTTAACCAAGAATTCTATGCATCATTCAAGAACCAAGCATATTGATATTTCTCATCACTTTATTATGGATCATGTGCAAAAGAAGGATGTGATTATGGAATTCATTCCTATTGAACTTCAACTTGCTAATATCTCCACTAAGCCTCTTACATTAGATTGATTCATGCTTATTAGAAGAGAATTGGGCCTATTGAATCCCAATGAGTTGTAAGATCACCTAAATTCTCATTTTA